ATGGCGCTCCTGCCCCACACGCACCCCTGGGGCGGCCGAGCCTCTCCCGAGTGCCCCCCTGCCCGGGCTCCCAGCGTTGAAGTACTGAAGCAGCCTTATCCTTTTATGCATAAACTTTCTTTACAACTTCAGGGACTTTCTTTGCGTTCAAACCATAATGGAACCTGTAAACTAAACCCTGTCCCTGTGGTGGATCTGTCAGTACAGAGCACTGCGAGGGCTCAGGGGTCTGCTCGACTGGTTTCACAATTGAAACGTTACGGAAATGTCTCAATAGTAAACCAAAGAGTTGGCTAATAATCTGCATGGAAAGATGCCTGTCGTGATTGGTGTTCAGGTGATTTTATTCTTAACTACTGTGTTTCTTCTCTCTTCTGCTAGATGAAAACGAAGCGGAGAGACCAGAGGAAGAAAAACCTAGGTGAGTATCTTGACAACTGGAAGCCCTGTAGCGTGGCCGCACACAAACTGCGTTCATTATGTTCTTCTTCCCAGCTGTTTGAAACTCCATATCACCTGAACACACCCTGGGGTCTTTGAAAATCCCCTTAAGATAGTATTTTTGGCTTGCTAGAATGACTTGGCTTTTCTGTGGTATGGTTTTACCTGTGAAATCGGGACACTTGATTATGAAAGTTATTTTAAGTTTTAATTGTATGGACAGCAATAGCCCCTCACAAAATGCCAGCAGGTCTTCTATTTCTATAATCGTGCTTTGCAGTCTTAGTAATGGATCAGGATTTCATTTGTTCTATATAATTTAGAAATTAAGAGGCAGTCTGTCTCCCAGTATAGCTACAAGAGAATATAAGGGAAGCAGTGGAAGACTGCCACTTTTGATGAAGTTTGATGTACAGGTCGTGTAACACATCTGCTTAGGGTTTTGGGGTTGCTTTTTTTATTAGTAGGAGAGTATTTGAAAGAAATTTAGAAAAAACTTTGGAAGTGTTTAGGGGGGCCTGCTTGAGTTACGAGGAACTGTGTGAGTGAAATCACAAAGGTGCTCCTTTGAAAATCTAGCTAAGTTGATAGGGATTGGTAGCAAGGACTGACTGGAAATGGGAATCAGTCTCATACTGAATGAAAGTCTCACAATTGATAAACTATGGAAATGGTTGATTGTCAAGATAAATTAAAAAAAATAAAGGGGAAGCCAATGCAAGAAAACATGCATTGTTATTTTCTATAAATGCTTCCAGTCAACAGATTTTTTTCAATGAGAACTCTTGCATTTAGTTACCCTTGGTGGACTTCTTGTCCGTAAGCTTGCTCAGTTGCTTTTTTGAACCAACAACTTTTGAGAGGCACAGTGTGATACAGCAGTAATGACCTGCACCACTTGACTGCATATGATACCATTTTGAAGCAGCTACTAGATGCAATTATTTGATGATTTCCATTAGTTCATGTAGTATAAGAAACAGAGGTTTTTTCCTGTCACCTTCTGCATGTTGCTTAACAGTTTTCTAGACCTCTGTTGCATTCATCTTGATCATCTCTTTTCCAGGGCAAAGAATTCTAATTATTTATTTGCTCTTTATTTGGAAGCTATTCCATATCTATTGATTCTTTGTGCTGTTACCTTTTCTTGACCTGGCACCTTTTGTCAGCACTACTGTTCACGAAAAATATTTGCATGGCAACCAAAATGATCCTTATGTTTCTAAGGTGTTTTACTCCAGTTTCTGGTCAATAGTGTCTAACTTGGCATTTGGCTGCCTCAAGACATAGTTATGGACTAAAAAGCATAACGAACGGTAGCTTATGCATATTATGAGTTGTGTTTGGAACTCTGGAAGTGTGGTGACAGTTTACCTGTTAAAAATTTTGGTCTCTGGCTTCCCAGTTTTGGCCTTCTTCATGTACATATAAAAATCTTGGGGTTTTATTAAGATTCTCTAGCTAGTCTGTCGTTTTACTCAGTGATGAAGTGAAATGGTCAAGCTTGAATCCTGGTGCCATACATGCTGTGTTGGGGTTTGGTGCAACGCTCACGAGTGGGTATTTTGCCAACAGAAAATGGGATCAAAACGATTCTATTCAATAAAAAGTGGCAGTTGTTCACTCCATTTCAGAAATATCTTTTCAGTGAAAGAATATTGTTTCTAAATGGCTCCCTGCTTACTCTGCTATTTGTGGTACAACTTCCTAACAGTTAATGGAACTGTGGAAATTAAAATACTGCTGTGTAAGAAACAGCAGGAGGTAATCCTGGTGAGATAGCTCATTTGCACGGATTGACACTGCTGGTCATTTTAGATGGACCAGTAGTTTTAAAATTCTTACAGTTGGCAGGCTACAGTTAAAATATAATTGAATTAATCATCGAATTGTAGCTATTCCATATGGTGGAAGAAAATTTCACAATGCAGATATGGGAATTTCGATTCAGTGCAGTATTACCTATGGCTATTTAAATGTCTTTTTGCATTATGTCTTTGCAAAGTGTCAATCTGCAGGGAAAAAAAAAGCTATTATTCTCCCTTCATATATTATGAAAGAGTTCACTTTGATTTCAGAAGAGGATCCAAGTGTAGTGCCTTACTACTTCCAACTATTCCTCAAACATCCAGTTAGTATGATTTAGGATAGCTAAATATTATCCTATCAATATAAAGTTATATTAGTCTAGAAATTTTTTTAGTAAATTATTTTTTTAATTAATGCAGAAGATAGCTGGAGCTTTGACTTTGCTCTGGAATGATGTAGCAAAGTTGTTTTTTTTTTTTTTCATCATTAGCTGATATGTATGAAATAATATGTGCATAAATACCTAGTTTCATCTTTTCCTGTTTGTTTTTGTTTAAGTGCTCCACCCCCACCTGGAAATGAAGAGGAAGCTGCAGAAAATGGCGTGAAAACGGTAGTTTTAAATGTGTTTTTGAAATACTAGTTGTTTTGATTTATGGGGTATTTGTAATTTGGCTAGGACTTATAATTAAATGAATTAATGCGTAAGTGTATGCCTTTTTTTTTTTTTTTTCTGGAAGGTGTTTGACACTATCAGCAGAAACTGTAGAAATTACTAAATTAGGAAATCCAATTTCCAGCTGCAGTCCACTTTTTAAATCAATTTTACAGGAAATAAATTAATAGTACTTCCATTTTTTGAGGGTGTAAAGACAGTGCTTCAAGACAGCTGTCTTTTCTCAAAAGCATCCTTTTCAAAATTACACTCTCTCTTTTTCCTCACTGATAGGAAAATAAAATCCTCTGATACTTTTTCTTTTTTGAAAGTGATAAACAATTAGCATTTGCAGAACTATGTAAGAATATGGATCAAGAGATGAATTACATGTGCCTTTCAGAGGCAACATAGCAGACTTGTTCGTTAGTTGTTTTCAATGTTCAGTACCTCTTAGAATTTTAGTGTTAATATGATGAAGGGACCAGGAAATGAAATTGACAGTTGCAGTGTTGCTGAAGGATTCAACAAGTATGTGAGTAAGGGTGATCTGGTTGACGAAGTTCACTTGGATTCCACAAAGTTTTTGAAGAAGTTCCTCACCAAAGGATTTTAAGAAAACTAAGCAGCTATAGGATGAATCCCACATGGATAATTGATGAGTAAAAGGTAGAAAACAGAGGGTAGAAGTTCAGTTTTCACAGTGAAGGAGGGTCACCTCCAGTGGGAATTCTCTGGAATGTTGTGCATAACCTGTGCTGTTTAATGTGTTTATAAATTGCTTGGAAAAGGGGTAAGTTGTGGGATCACAAGTTTGTAACATCAGGAAAGTTATTCAAGATAGCAAGAGCAAGGACTATCTATGCAGAACTAATTGGTTAATAAATGGTTATTGAAATTCTGTATAGAAAAAGAAGCGATGTTCATGGGAGGAAAAATAGGTTTACAAATAAAATGGTGGTCTCTCAGCTGATCATTACCACTTAGGAGGAACACACCAAGATATGTAGAAGGATCCATGAAATTGATGGTTAAGTGTTTGTCTGGAGTCTAAAAAGTAGTTAAACCTTGGGATGTAGCAGAAAATGAATAGAGAATAAAATGGAAGGTATCGTTATACCATAAATTCATGGTTCAGTTCCACCCTGAACTCTCTCTGCTGTTCTGTTCCCCTCACGTTGTAAAGGCTTTAATTCAACTGGAAAAAGTTGAGAGAAGAAGAGCAGCAAGAGTAATTGAGGTAGCTTCCGTATAAGGAATGGCAGAGTAGGCAAGGACTTGTCAGCCTGGAAGACAGGCATACGTAGGATATGATGGAGGCTAACAAAATTGTGTACAGAGACTATAAATAAGGATTGCCTCCTCACAGTCCGTTCCATATGAGAACTGGGACTGTTAAATGAAAGTCGTAGGAGCCAGGATGAAAACAAATAAAAGCAGTTGGATCTTCATGCAGTAGACAGTGCTATGGAACTCGTTGCCAAAAAGAGTGTTACTGCTGGGAGTTTATATGAGTCCAAGGGAAGTCTAGGCAAATACTTAAGAGATAAGATCTATTAGGGGTTACTAAATAGACAAACTGTAACTGATTTAGGAAATGCCGTGAGCTGGTAATAATCAGCAGCTGAAAGGGTGTTAGGGAGGAGCATTATATGTGTTTGCCCTGTTTTTTCTCTCCCCTGTAGTCTCTGGGAGGGGAAAACCAAAACAAAATGCCAAACAAACCCAAAAAACTGGACTAGATGAACTCTTGGTATGAAATGGTATGACTAACTTATTTACCAGCAAGCTTGAATGCTATGGGACAGAACAACATGCAGTGTGGTCTGGGATCTGTCTTTTCAGCCCATTTGTTGAAAAATCTCAATTACTTTATATAGTTTACTGATGTTAGGAACTGAATAGATTTCTCTGAAGCGCAGTGTTCATTTACAACTGGAAAAACATGTATTTCAGTTACTCTGTATATGTAATTGAAGATGGCAGGGATCTAGTCTTGCATGTCTTTAAATTCTTTTCTGAGTGACAAGATAAGAGTAGAACCAGTGTGTATGAGCTAGACAGAGGGAAGAAGAATAATATTAGATAGTGGAAACTATTTTATGCTTATTTAGGAAATGTCTGTTTCAGAAACAGAGCTTAGTATTAAAGATACTTCCCTATTTTGATCCAGATGTTCCAGATACTTGTAGCATTTCAACAGATGAGCCTCCTAAATTTACCATTAATGCTACTCAGTTCTGAGATCTAGGAAAGGGAGAATTTTCTTCTTTCGAAGATTTCTTGAATGGATAGTTTTGTCTGGATTATTTTTCCACTGTAAAGGTAAGTGACTGCTTTTTGTCTAAGCAATGACTTTTTCTTTTGTAGAAGGTGGCAGAGGCCGAGGATGACAGTGATAGTGATAGTGATGATGATGAAGATGATGTTCAAGTCACCATAGGGGATATTAAAACAGGAGCTCCACAGTATGGGTAAGTTACTTGCAAATACTAACTGGGGCAACTTTCAAGTTTACATTTAATTATTAATTCAGGCTCTTTAATACTTGTCAATGTATTATGAAATGGCTGTTAAATAGCATTTTTAGGGTCATTATTGTGACAGTGACATTTTTGTTGCAAATGGTAGAATGGTAAGCACAGAGAACATTAGAAACATTTGTCCTTGGTCCTATTTGTAGTGGATACAGTTCTAATTAGGTCTCTATAGTTTCAATTCCTATTATGTTCTGAAATAAGATTTTAATGTACTTCAGGATGGAGCTGCCAGTCTCTGGAGATAATTTCTCAAGACCATGGTTTGTACCATGCAAGAATTTTTTTGTATTGTTATTGCCCCGTATTCCTTCTTGTCTCGATAAAGGGCTTGTTTTTCACTGAACACTTTTGAACAGTGCTAAATTTATCCAAAATTATATCATATTATTTTCCATTACATGGAAGTTTTCTGAGGGAAGTGGTTTGCTTGTTTGTCTCAGCAATCCTAATGTTTTTATGCTTATTAAAACCAGAGTTACTAGGGCATCATTTCTTAATAGAATTATGACAGGTCTGCAGATAGGTCTGACTCATGTATATTATTGTGTTCTTAACTTTAGAATGCAGGTGATTTACTCATTTTTGAAACATGATATTTTTAAACTTTCAGCATTTCATATCCTAAACTAACTGCTCAAATCAGTGTAATGTAAAAAATAGCAATTCTTTCAGTTCTTTTGTCTGCTTTCAGTAACCTGCCATATACTTGTGGTGTAGACAGTGGCCTCAAATTTTGTGAGACTAAAGCAAAACTGGATTTATATTCTCAGTGGATTTGCTGGTGCTGTTTCTGTGAATACAGAAAACAATGAGCAGACAATCCTAAATCTAGTTAGAGTAGAAAGTTTTATATATAAATGGTTATTTTCTGAAAAACCTTTTTTCTGGGCAAATTGGACAGAAAGTTCGTGGAAGGACAGTAATCTAAAACAAACTCAACATTGCTGTTCATTTTAACTTCAGTATGACAAGTTCCTTTTATAGGATTAAATTATTTTTCATATAGTAGTCAACTGGTGTTTAAAAAAAACCATAAGATTTGTTAAAGACATGCAGAAATACAGCATGGCAGATCAGAAGGTAAAATGTTTTGTGTCAGTTTTGTACTGTTGTAGCACTTGAATGAAAACTAGAACTGCATGGAAGTGGTACTGTAAACTATACACTGCCTTCTAATTATATTCTAATTTCATTATGTTTATGTGTTGATATTACCTGTCAGGATAAGCTACAGCGCATGCAAATGGTAGTGAAAGCTAGCTCTTAATGTTCCAAGTCAACAATACTGTAATTCCTAAGGTAGTTAAATCAGTTCAGTATCTAGATTTCTGAATGCATTTTTATGAAGAAAGCTCTCAAGTATTTTAGAAAGTGAAATGTTACATACTTTTCTGTTGGTCACAAGGATAGGGGATTGCTAGAAGTACATTGAAACAGACAGCCTTTCAATCATTGTGGAAAAATGCTTGTATTTTCCACTTCTGTACCAATGAAATGGAATAATTATGAAAAGAGGAAAGGCTCTCTCTAAACCCTTTCTTTTTTTTTTTTAATTTTGTTTTTACTTTAATCCCCAGAGTGTCATCTGTATCCCTAAATGAACTGCATTTTTCCTTTCTCTCTTCTTCTGGTTCTGTCCATTCTTGCTTCTATCAAGGTCTTTACCCTTTCAACTCAGGAAGAGTGACTGGGACTTGCTTCACAACTGTTTATTAGTTGGAGAAGTTGCTACTGAGCATAGAAAGGTACACTCTCTTCCTCCTAGGCTGATCTCTTTACTTTTACAGTGTTACCAGCTTGGAAAGCTAGAGATTCAGGATGGCGATTGAGCCTGGGTCCAGTTTGTTTCTGGATCTAGCAAACTCTTGTTTTGTGTGTTCTTCTGTTTTAAGAGTTTTCTCTGTCTAATTCAGTTTTTCTAATTTCTTTAAGTTATGGAGCAGCACCCGTGAATCTCAATATTAAGACAGGAGGACGAGCTTTTGGATCTTCTGGTAAGAATACTTACACAGTAATACTAGTAAAAATGCAAAAAAAAGTTTGATTGTTTTGGATGAAGGAAATAATATTCACTTCCAAAACTTGTTGATAAATGTAAATATGACTTTTTATTTCTATTTTAAGTGTGTTACAACTGTTAAAGCTGTATTTGGTAAAGACAGAAGGCTCTAACTTTCTAAGTTTTCTTCACAGGTGCAAAAGTTAAAGGGGTGGATCTAGATGCACCAGGGAGTATTAATGGCGTGCCGCTTCTGGAAGTAGATTTAGATTCTTTTGAAGATAAACCTTGGAGAAAGCCAGGTAATGCTCTGGTTTACATTAACTGATATGTATGTATTCAATAGGTTATTTTAATAATAATTCCCATCTACTACATGTAGCTGTTATCTACCCTATAGCCAGAAGATACTGTACAGTGTAACTTGGAAAAAGCAACTAAGTTACTCGTTGCTTTTGTGCTGTGCCACAGACCATATGGGTGTGCCATATTTCTTAGGATACATCCTGTACTTCTGTCAGCAAAAAGACTGTAGGACATGCCCTTTTTTTTTTAAATACATGTATATCCTGAACTGTCCTTGGGAATCTGTATTTCTGTGGAGATTACTGCCATTGGTCTGTGCTCTGGGGCAGAAGATAACGCAGAACGGAAAATAGTTCTAGCATGTTTGAGCATGCAGAACGGTGAAATGTGGCTGCTTGTGCTTCTTTGTGTTCCTCCATGGACGTCCGAAAGCTCTGAAGAAGCAGCTGGTACCACATAGTCTTTCCATAAGTCTCCTGTGTGTATTGTCTGGTTGGCTCAAGTGATTTGGCCAGACTTATCTAATACCAGCATTCATTGGGTTTTTTAGTGGCAGTACATCTTGCTGCTGTGTATAGTTTTTTTCCTAGTGTTTGGTAATGCAAATAGTGTCTACGAAATGGAAAATATAAGCCTTTGATAATATTCTGGTGTTTGAACTCTTAGCTATTTGAAATATAGCCTGTGCATTTGAGTTAGGTCTGGTCTCTCTCTTACGATAAAAATACTTTGTGGCATCAAGTGAAACCAGGAGTCAATATGAAATGAGTCAAATACAGAACAAGAAAAAGGGAGTGGTTCTTCACTGAATATACAGCAACCTTGTAGATCTTACATTTATCCTATTGTAAAGATACAGGGATTATAATATTCTGTGATATTCTGTAAGTATCTACTCTTGATCCCTGGACACGGTGTTAGGGAAGATACTCTTTCTGACTAAATTTTAATGTTTTTGTAGTATTAGCCATGAATAATCTATGTTTAATGATGTAGGACTGTATTGTACATTTCAGTAGTATGTTCTCAGATCAATACCCAATCCATTTTGATGTTTTAAATAGAGGTGTGTATATGTTCAGTGAAGAAAAGATGAGCTTGGTAGTGTCCTAAAACCCTACGCTTTTCTTTTTAAAGGGGCTGATCTCTCTGATTATTTCAACTATGGGTTCAATGAAGACACCTGGAAAGCTTACTGTGAAAAACAAAAGAGAATACGAATGGGTCTTGAAATTTTACCAGTTACCTCAACCACAAATAAAATTACGGTAATTAGTACAACTTTTGCCGTATTCTACATGCTTTTTCCCTTGTAAAGCTGCTTGTGTGTCATAAGCTTGTTCAGTGCGTGTGTTAGTTTGCACCTGACTCCCCACCCTGAGCCTGGAGTGTTCCTGTGTTGCTTCACTGGCAATTTGTGTGGATAGTGTGACAGATTAGCTACAGCTAGATTGCATCTGTACCATTATTCAGATTATGGCCCATCACTTAAGAGTTGTATGGTATCTTAATGGGCAATGTGTTATTTAACTTAGGCTGAAGACAATGCTATGGAAGTAAGACCAAGTGCAGAGATTCTCGATGGCAGATACCATCTTTTTAAGGTGAATTTTAGTAAACTTTTGTTGGTTGCTCTCATTTTTGTTAAGTATTGCTTCCCATGCCACCACAGACTGATAGAAAAACAACTGAAATGGACATAGCCATTATTTCAAACTCTCATCTTACATCAGTGATTTTCTGCATATGTCACAAAATGCTGATTAAAAAGTGTTGCTTTGTTTTCACCCTTCTGCAAGCATGTGAGTTAGTGGCCTGGTGAACTAACAAATTTCCCAGTGAAACTGATTATTCTTTATGTGATGGTTTATTTTTAGTTGTAGTGCATTTGTTCGTGCAGATTAAAGAATTTGTGCAGATGTGCCGGGAAGCTTTCATAGATTATAGCATGTTTATTTTTCATGTGGCCTTGTAGCTTTTACCGTGTTTTGTAACACTTATCCTTGGCAACTCTGAGATGTGAAAATCAATCTTCCATATTTTTCTGTTGTTCTTTTGGGATTATATGGCAATAAATCAAGTTATACATAATATTTTTCTGTTCAGAAATGCTGATTTTCAGAGACCAGAAAAATCTGTGTGATAGGATTTATCTTAAGGATTGAACATTTTTTTTAAACTTCTTGTTTTTTCATTTACTCTTTTGTTTGGTACTAAAGTTGAAATTAAAATACAAGGGTTACTTATTTTGCTTATTTTTAATATGCAGTCATTTTTGTTCTTGAATTGTAATTAAACTGACTTGGAACTGTTTGCGGCTTTCTTCTGTGTATGCCTGTGACAGAAGTGTCAATTGCAGACAAGCATTTTTGTTTCCTCTCACATGCTACTTGAGGGTATCCAGTCATTTTGACTTTATCTTAGCAAGAACAGATCAGAAGCTTCCCAGGGCTTTTTACCTTCTTCAATTATCATTATAATAGTGTTACAAAATGGTGGAAATGGTGGGCAATGGGAGTTATGATTTGCAGCTGACTACACTCTCAAACTTTTCTGAACTGTTGTCCTGAAGGAAGAAGGATAAGTATTCCAAACTAAAAGTTCCTCTGTTTCTAGCTCAATATTGACTCTCCGGGGGTCCAGTGATCAAACAGTACAGATAACATTTGTGTTGTAAGAGTCTGAAGTAAGGTTTTGTCATGCGTTTTAAAATAAGCTTACATATAATTAATAAATAATTTCATTAACCTCTTTCCCACTCTTCTGAAATACTAAGGCTTCTGTAATTTACATGGTGTGTTTGTATTAATCTTCTGTAATTGTCAAGACAGTCTTCCTACATTTTCCAGTTATTAATTAATAGAAGTCTTACAGATTTTTCCCATAAATACTTAAACCAAACCTATTCAGTTTTGCGGTTTTATTTTTTTCATATTTCTGGATGCTAAAGTTTAATTCAATTTTTAATGAATCTTAACTATTTATGTGCATTTTTGTGGGTTTGGGAAAGAGGCGTCTGTGTTTAGAAGTGAGATTCTGCAAAAGCTTAGTAGTTCACTTGCCTACAGGAAGCTGTGAGATCACAGCCTATATAATGTTACACCATGACTGAACTAGCAATGTAGGGTGATATGTGGTTGGTACAGTGGGACTGTCTTTGAAAACCAAAGCAGTACAGGTTTGTCTTCAGTGCTAACCCATGCAGGTTTTTCTTTCATGTATAATGGGCTGCTGAAGTCAAACAATACTTGAAGCACTTGCACCAAAGGTCTTGCATAGCTTTAATAACGTGTCTCTGGAATTTTGCAGTACTTCAGAAATAGCAATATGTTTTTGAAGTATTCAGTCTGAACTAATGAAAAATCGCATAACCCAGAGTATGAAGTGACTTCCTGGTATGACTCGGAAATTAAGTGGTTAGTAGATCTCATAGTCAGTAAGGCAGACTGAGAAACCACGCAGTTTCTTGTCTCACGTTTTTTTGTTGTGTAGCAGACTTGTTAGATATCACTGTTGTTAAGATTATGAAGATTCCAATTTTTTTTTTTTTAGTAAGTTTGCTACTTTTAGAAATTAAGATGTTATTTTGTTCATACAGTATATTCTACAAGAAAATCAGTTTGGTCTGTTCATGTCCAAATCAAATGCTTGGAAAACGTATTAAAACTGTCTAATCTTCTGTAATTTGTTCTCTGGCATATTGCTTCTTATATATATTAAACACAGTACTCAAGTAATATATCCTTATAAAATACAGAATTTTACTAACTGTGCAAAGGTGACAGTTTTTAAAAAATCTGATTAAAATTGGAATTTATTTCTTTTTGTGTTGGCTATGTGCTATGATGAGTGTTGGGGCTACTACACTTCTGAGGTTAAACTAATGCTGAAACATTATTTTGAAGGTACAGCAGGGCAGAACTGGAAATTTGGAGAAAGAGCTGGCAGTGCAGTCAACCAAAGCTGATTTCACATCTCCTCCTGCCTTATTCAAAACAGGAATTCCAGCAAACAGGTCAGTTAGACAGTTGTAGATCAAGACAAAAAAACTTTTCATACTGTTACCTCTATGTATTTGAAGTTCATGATTTTTGTAGGAAAAAAGGAAAATATGTTTGTGTAACAGGTAGAAATGAGGGGAAGAATTACCCTAGTAATTTTAGTCTTCAGTCACCATTACACATGAATGTTGTGTTGCTACCTTCTTGGCTATTCAGGAAAGAGAAGGAAAGGGGAGAAGAAACAGCAGGACCAAATAACAAGGCAGCTATAAAAATCCAGGTGTTGATGTATGACACCATGTTTTCTGTGTGGAATTACATTGGCCAACAAAATGTTTCTAGCTAGTGTCTTTATGGGTATTAACTAGCACACCTTTTTTGGTTAAACAAGACTGAATCGGACAGCTATGACTTCAGCAACTGGAAGGATTCCTGGAACCCAGTCTCTTTCCTGCAAGGTAGCTTTAGCGTCTCTATATTTGAATATTTTACTATACTTTTTTTGAAATGAGAGAAATTATTTCCTTTCTAGGGTTTCTTAACCTCCTTCTCTCAACCTCAGGCTTTAATAAGTTCTGTCCTTTATATCTAAGCTACTGCTGTTTGATACCTGGCACTCGGCTTAGGATGAATCTGTGCTCCTGCTTTGCTTTAGTTATCAAGTGACCCTGTTCAGGAGTTTTGGTTCTGTGCAAATTAAAAGTCATTGTATTATAAATGATGGTAAGAGAGGTAGAGCAGGTTGTACGCTTTAGTCATCAACAGTTGAAGATTAGCGTCTATGACTTGTTTTTAGCACTGCATCTATAAGTACCTTGGCTAATTCACAGGCACTCGTGTTTAATTATTCCACCCTTTAAGAGTCAGTTCAACACTCAAATATATTTCTCGTGTGTGGGGAAAAAAGTAATCTTGCTTGATACTGCATTTTTATTTCACTCCTAGAATATTCCTCCTGGGAGCCTAAGTTCTACTCTGAGCTATCAGGTTATACTGTTTTGGGTTTAGTAGATTGCAGTTCTTTTTTTCCATTTTTCTTTGTCTAAGAAGTAGTAAAAGTCTTCCAAACTTTGTACCAACCCTGTTATTATTTTTGTTACTTTTATTTTCTGAATCGCTTCTGATATATGTTGTTCTTGTAACAGAGTTCTCAGAATTGAATGTACTGTTCACAGGGTAAGGATTCCAAATCTCTCTCCAGTACAGATTTTGTTACAGGATTTCAGTCTTTATGCATCTCATTGGTGGACAGAGAATCCCTAAAATACTTTCAAAAGTAGTTAATGACCAGGATATTAAAATGTAGATAAGCTTAAAGTTGTAAAAAAACGCATATGTAAACTCTGTGATTCTGTGAAGTTTGCATTTGTTGTGAGAAAGCTTAATACAAGTTCATATGTGTGCATGGTGTAGGCTTCATAACTAAAACCTTTGTTGTGTGCTCTAGCTAGGATAAATCTATCTTACCATAAATGTCTTTACACCATATTTTTATGCAATACTTTTTTTTTTTCTTCCTGAAGTTAGAAATCCCAATTTTAATTAACCGTCTTTCTGATTTGTAAGGTTTAAAGTTAGTATATTGGTGGTTAATCAGAGCTTTCCTGAGAAACCCTGAGATGTGTCTGTTTTCTCCAGGAACTAAGTTTACCTTAGTGAAAAGGTCTTTAAGTATGAGAAGCCAGTAAGTGAAGTCGGTCTGTTGCGTAGATAAAGAAGAAACAAAATGGTACATTTCCAGTTGTATCACTTGTGCATTCCAGTGGTTAGAATAGGTTGTTTTATATACATTTAGTGTGAATACTGTAATTTTAAACTGTTACAATGGCAAAACTGACTTTTTTCCATATTAAATATCTGCTCCTTAGGAAGCATTTGCTTAAAATAAATTCTTGTGTAAAGAAAAAGGTATTTGTACCAAGTGGTCAGGAGAGATTTTGAAAGAAAATTGTATGCTCAAAAGTCTGAGAGTAGCTCAGTGAATGAATACATCTTAACTGTATGGATTATATATATGTATACTTGAATGACTTCTCGAGAACACAGCTACTATTTTCTGTATATAAAAACCTGTATTTCTTATTTCTTTATAGCCAGGCAGTAGTTTATGAGATTGGACTTTTTTTTTTTTCCTTTAATGAAAGAGTGAGTTTTAGGTAGGTAAAACTTTTTGGCAATCTGGCTCTCTGATAATTTAAAATAATTGCCTTTATGTCATGAGGCATTTGCAACAGCTTTGTTGTGAAATTGCTGGAAGCATTTCTCATGTAGTAGTAATGCTTCTCTCAGTTTCTAGCAATAGTTGATATATTTGGTGAAAGGGAGGGAAAACTCATGCAACTGAGTATAGCACCATTGGTGTGGGGATTGGTAAAGCGCTGTGCATAAGGAGATGAGGAGCTCAGAGTGGAAAAGGTAAGAGACACAAGAAAAGAAAGACCTAGGCAATTTATCTTACCAGAAGCAGCACCTCTTCTCAGTCACAGACAAGCACTGCCTCCAGAAAAGCGAGTTCAGGCATCAGAAAGTGGCAGGGACAAATTGCCTGAATTAAGGTAACGGGGGGGGAATATCAGGGCATGATCCTAGTTTAACATTTTAATTCCCCAGTCAGGGCTGCAACATCACTTTGTGGGTGATTTTACATGTAGACATTGCAGCAGCTATTTCTCTTTAATGGGAAGTCTGAGGACAGCTAGCATTTTTTGCTTTTTTTCATTTGTTTGAAACAAGCATTAAAATAATTTTGTGCCTACTGTTTTTACCTTTTTAGTTTGAGTACAGTAGATATTTGCATATGATTGCAGTTGAAACATTCTCAAAAAAAAAAATCTCTGAGGTCTAGCAAGAATATTACTCATTACCAATATGCAGGTTGTAGTTTACAAAATAGAAACAGAATTATTGCTCACTGGCAAATAAAAGTTACTACTTCACTGTAATTCCATCCTAAATTTTTAATTTGAAGAAAAATTCAATGTTTGTTCATACAGTGTGTCTGTGTGAGAAATTTTACTTGAATTTGTAAACAATGACTCTCTTAATCATAGCTGAGCTATTGTTTAGAAATGACACCTGAACCTCTTGTCTTGATTCTGTGACATTTAGGGCTGCTGAATAGCGTAAAGTGTTCTGTCACCTTGAAGGAGGAGTTAGAACATAACGCAGATGGTTTAGTAAATGCACACTGTGTACAGACAATATGGTGTAAAATAGAATGTTTGTTCTCCAGAGGTGGTTAATTAAAGGTCCATTGTGTGCATAATCACAGTTAAGGTAAAAGCCTGAAGGAATCTCTCTTGACTATAGTGCTTTCTAGAACATGAAGAGGACTTGACATATTTCAAACCTGTCCTAACCAGCCAGGTCATAGCGGTATCTTACTGGTTTTTTAGACCAGTGCTTTTCTTTTATGTCATTTTTCAAGGACTGTGAGATAGTATGTCCTTAGTAGCAGAGAAATAAGCAGAAGTTTCATTTACACGCTGGATGTAAAAACTGGTATTTTCTCATTCCAGTAATACCTAGAATAGCTCTCCATCACAAAACTTTGTTCTGTCAGAAGCACTTAGTTTCTTAACCTCTATTTATGCTTTTTGGGTTATTACTAAAGAGTACATTACACTTAAATGAATTTTGCTTTCAGAGAAATTAGCCTGTCAATGTGATGGGCTGTTTATCAGCTTTCTCTGGGCTTGGGCCTTTCTGTAAATAGAATTTTTATAGAAAATGGATTTGTGATATGTCATTACTATGAAAAAATACATGTTCCTCTTGTCTCACGAACTAGCCTTGTGAGACTAAATGGTGAAAACTCAGATGTAAGTCTGAAAAAATGTCTATTTCATATATCAATGATATCTGCATTAAATTTCTTTGCTTCTTAATTATATCAGTAAGTGGTAAGTGAGCTCAGCAAAGTTGAGGCTGTCCTCGAGGAGGAAAATAAGGCATAAAACACATAAGCATGACAAGAAGGAATACAAGAACATATTCAATACAGTTTTTAAAGTATACTATAATCCTATAATTCGTAGACTAGACTATAAGTCTAGTGAATAAATGTAGCATCCAGTAGTTGGACTGCTTCTGAATTCTGGAAAGGCAGAGGATGGGACAGGATGATTTTCCAAAAAGAAGTTCATTATTTATGTTATTTGTGGTAGAGATAAGTGATTTCTGAAGCTATGAATTTGTAAAATAATTGGGTTTGTCCTTTTTTTTTCCCCTTTCCCTTTCTCTTTGCTCTGTAGAACCTAAATAAACTCAGCTTGCCAAACAACATAGCTTTCTGAATTAAACCTCCATGGAGGGTGCTCATAGTGCAAATAGCTCATAAATAACCATTCGCTAATTAGAGTGAAATCACTCACTGAGTTGCTGGAATGTTCCTTTCAAGCTACACTTTGTATGAACTCTGCTGTGGGTTCATGTGCATCCCACACACATGGATTGCCTTTTTATGTTTGGGTGTATCCATTGGGAATTCATCTGTATCCCAGGTGCCCTGATCATGTAAGGGACAAACCAAAAAAGCCCTTTCTTTTCTTTGCATGCAGCACTGAGACAGAAACCTAGTAATGCCTGCTTAACATCTTATCACTAAGCTAGATAATGGCTGGGGAGTCTTTGAAATTCCCCCATGTGCCAACTCACTATGACTTAATCAAGATCCGAGGCTTCAGATTT